CATTCAAAGATAGCGTTACGTGCGTAAAATGATCTTATATGTGTTTTTGCAAATGATAAATTCGAAATTCTGAATATTGGGTGTAATATGTAAATTCAACCCATACAAGTTGGATAACAAAATTTTCTATAAGTTGGAAATAAGGTGCTCGAGACAAAGAGAGTTTCTGGTCAAGGGAACAAAGTAAATCCATACGAGTCAGATCTGTCATTATACCAGCAAACAGATCATCTTCCGACAATTTCTTACTACTAAAAATGAAAAATTTTCATGCCCAGATTATAAAAATGAAACAAAGACACTGATTTAAAAAAGAGTTTGCAGATCACTAAAACGACATTAAATAAAAAATATTCTTTCTTTACTATTTTTAATTTAACTGTGAAATATAATGTGATCATATTTTAATTTTATTGATTATAACGTTAAATTTATGGTGATCACACTAATTCATTATTCATTATGTTTATACTTTATATATCTTATTAATCATTTTATTAAAACATCATAAATTTAACGTTATCAACAATGAGATCAACAAATGATCACACTATATTTCGAGACACGTAGATCACAGCCGAATAAAGATATGTTTTGAAATCAAAATAGTAAAATAATGGTATTTTTGGTCCACTCAAACAAAAGAGCGAAGGAGATTTTACAGAGGGGGTCAAAAAAGGGGCTTACATATAAAATGATGCTCTTATGAAACCGAGAAACAAATTTAAAGAGAAACAAAAAAAAAAGGTACAACATCAATCAAAGTTCCAAAAAAAAAAACCTAGGAAGGAAAGAACTCCGACAATTTCTCTGCAAGTTAAAGCCCGAAAAAAGGAGAGGAGAGAGACAGATGCTTTCTCTGTGTAAGCCCTTCAAAAATTATACACATTCTGCCATTTTTTGTTACAAAAAAAAAACTCCACCAAAACATCTTCATTCCACCAAGAATAAAAAGGTTATCTTCTCATGATGATTGACGGCTTCCCATAAATAGTTGTTTCTTGGTTTCGAGGTTTTGGTAGCGTCAAGGTTTTCTTCCGCAGGCACACAAGAGGAGGCGGCTCGCTTGCTTCATGTGGACGAGACAGAGAGCTTCTTGAATGCTTCGAGTTTCCCATCGATTAATCCGCTCTGATCCACGGGACGGGTTGGCGTCACACCGTTCTCAACGATCTTATGCGATGGATTGTATTCCGAGTTTGGCATGGCAGAACTATGCTTCCCTTCAAAATACGTGGAATACGGAAAGTACTCCGCACAGCGTAACTTCCACCCTGCAATTGTGTCCCCAACCCACCTCGGGTTATTATTATTCCCTGCTACAATATCTGTTTGGAGATATAAGGCGAAGAATCGATTGCTTACTGGATGCAGCATCGGGTTCAATGGGAATTGTGACGAGGAGCTTGTGAACTGCGATGCAGTCTTTGAGTTTCCATTCCCTTACTGGTCCTAGTGCTCCGTTTCTGCATGTACCAGAAAACAAAAGGATCTCGAAATTTAAAAAAAAAAAAGAACCACAAAGATATTGACAAGATGTATAAAGAAAAGTACAGCGGAAAACCATATGTAAAAGGTTCAAAGTAAAGTATTACGCCGGCACAATATTGTTGGTAGAGTCTTCGATTAATTTAACAGCATCGGATTTCTTGCTTGGATCAAGAACATACAGCATCTCGGCATAGGCTGCTCTGTGCATCAGAGATCCTGCCATATTTGTATTGAACAATTTATATAAAGACACTGTGATGAGATACATACATACATGATACATATATATATATATATACATATAAGTTTGGCCCTCACCTTTGTGTCTATTAAGGAAATCTTCGTTCGCTTCCTCTAATGATTTATTCTGCAATTGACTATAATACAAAAAATAACCAAGAATCATCTCTGTCGTTGACATACAGCTCGTGTCGTTAAAACCAAAAAAGAAAAGAAAAGAAGGAAGGGCAGTTCAAGAAGTTATTACTTGATAGACTGGCGCTCGGCCTCTAGGACACTCCAGAGGAGTTTTCCGGCTTCAGTGGTCGGAGTACCCATCGATCTCGTCTTGAGGAAGAATTTGATCTGTCATCCAAAGTCAGAAAAACATAGAGCAGAAAGTTAGAGCCTTATCTACATCATATGATTAGCCCTTCCAAAGAACATTTGCCATCAGGAGAGAGTACATACCAAGCAACGATGTGAATCAGGGTTCTCGGCATCCAGTTTCAGCAATTGTTTTAGAGCCTGAAGATTGACAAAATAGCAAAGCCCTTTTTAATTAATTAATTGAACGAAAACATAAACACAATCCAATCAATCATAGGCTTGATTAAGAAATTGATTACCTGGAATGCAAGAAGCAATTTGTGCTTTCTCATATTAACCTCAAAAGAAAGCAAGTGAGTCTCCAGAGAATTAGGTGAGTTCTTCTGGAGTAATTTCAAGTACTTCGAAGCTTCTACCATTGGATCTTCAACCTAAACAATTTTAGTTCTTCGTAAGCTTCGGATGATGTAATAATGCTCATACGACATGACAATTTAGTGAAGAACCCAACACGTTTTTTACAAAAGACAGAAACTAAAGACCTGAAGTAATTTCTCCCCATTAGGATCTGGGTCTACAGGTTTCACATTTCGTTTGCCGGACTTGGAGACACTACTAGCTGTAGATTCTTCACTCTTACTCTCAGCTTCCTGAATATAAATAGACGGATAATCTTAAGCAACTAGATCATGCATTCAATTGCTATATCCATGAAAAAGTGACGTACTTTCTTAGCCCGCGCTTCTGCCTTTTTCTGCTTCTTGATTTTCTTCTTCTGCGCAGGAGGCAACTTCGACATTTCATCTTCTTCAGCAGCTGATTTAGGAGAATCATGCAATTTCAAATAGCACCTGAACAGGAATGAAAAAAAAAGGACAAAACGCTTATAGGGCACAAGCTCTAGTAAAGGATGCAGTTAGAGTATATTTATGCAACAAAGACTTCACCTGATGGCTCCAGCTGCAGCTTTGTGGAAATATGGAAAAGAGTGCAATCGATCTTGGAACTTAAGCATGTCAACATATGAACGTAACGTCATTTTCCTTAAGCAATAGGAGTGGAAATCAAATTGATCTTCAGAAATGTCTGCATAATGCTTCTCCACAGCCAGAAATTTCTTTAGAGCCCGTCCAAGATCACCCTGACGGAAGTAGCTTTCTCCCGACGCAAGTTCATACCTTTAAAGTAATGAGGTAAAAATAATGGCCATTAAAGAAGTAAAGCACATCACCTTAATTGCCAATTTTACAAATACAGCTATTCAGGAATAAGCAGAACCAATACCACATGCACTGCATGTCATGAAGATTGTTATCTTTTGTAAACAAAACAGCAGTTTTCTCAGCCAAGGTCACCTACATAAAAAATTTCCGAAGAAAACTCATGAGGGCCCCGAGGTCAACATGTACAAAGAGAGGTAGGAATTATACCATAAGAATAGAATAAGTTAGGAACCTGATCAGCTTGAAGCATACGCTTAACGCATTCACTGTTTATGGAACGATCAGCTAAGTCCATGCATCTAGCTTCATCAGCAAGTGCTGCTGCAGCAGTTAGATCTCCCGCATGCTTCAGTATCCGGCTCTGTGGTAAAGAAAACCCATTGGAGCAGTTGAAAAAAGAAAGCAGAATATCACCATACAAGGAAAGACATATCTGATAAACAATATGTGCACATATTGGATAATGCATTACATCATCACCATTCACCACAACTCGAGTAATCCAGAGAAGTCATATGGTCAATAAAGTTCTCAAAACGTCTCTAAAGAGACGCAACAGGGTGAATATAGGAGGGACCAGAGACATACACAGAGAAATGGATATATAAACAAATTTATAAAAGATAAAAGGATTTTGGTCGCATCAAACAAGCATACCTTAACAGAGTACAGATCAATTACTGTGGGAGTGTGTTCAATAGCCTCATCAATTTTAGAGAGGGCAACATCGTATTGACCACGCCTGTCATAATGCTGCATTAAAAAGAAAAGCTATTATGATACACCTACACTCAAAGCTTCAAAGAAAGACTATTACATGGGAAAAAAAAATAACAGATAATAACCACAAACTTCTACCTGAGCCAAGAAAAACAAAGTCCACAGAAGTGTTGAAGGGGGCTCTTTCACATTACTGCATTGATGAAAAATTTTAAAAAGAAAAATAGACTCTGATCAAATCAGACTTTTTGAAAATTCCAGGTTCTTCTTTATTAAGAGTAACCCCTAAAACAATATCATATAGCACCAATGCTGCACAACAAGCTAATAAAGATGAATTGAACTATATACCTTCCAAGGTATCTTCCGGTAGTCCTAATTGATTGTTCCATCTCAAGAACAAGGTGCTCCAAAATATCAGCCTAGATAACAACATAAATATGCTATATATATTGCCAAAAAGAAGAAGAAGCAGTGAAGCCAAACCACCACATCATTGTGTTGTGACAGCATCCTTGAGGACAAAGTGAGGACACTTACCTTGCCAGGGGGATCATATAGAGAAGAGAGATCAGAAAACAATGAAGGAACACCCTGACACAAGAATAAAGATGTATAAGAAAGAACTTCATATAAGGAAAATACAAAACCCAAAAGGTTACGGACAGAAAATATACCTTAGTCAAAAGAGGTTTAATGTAGTTTGCAGAAGCTTCCTTAAACTTTTCATCTTGCAGAAAATCCAGTGGTATTCTCTGAAAAAGTGAATAACGATAATAACGATGTCCTGGTAAGTTCTGGAAATACAGCATGTATCAAAGGAAAACAAACATCAAACCAGAACCATATGATTAACAAATGATTCTGTAAAGAATGGCAGAATAATTAATAACGTACATCTCAGTAAATATTGGTCTTTTGTTACCTTAACAGCAGATGACCAAGTGTACTGCTGGCTAAGAGACTGGTACAAGGCATTTAACTGCTCAATCTCATCAGAAGAAAACTGGCCACTTTCTGGATACAATCCAAGACATTTTTGAAGTCCATCATAATATCTGAATAGAGCGAACAAAAGAAGCTTGTGTTATTTACTATAAAAACTTTCAGGACCAGAAACACATAGGAGCCGTTGAGACGCCAAAGGACAAGTTATGTTTTTTTTTAAATGTGCAAATAGAATGATCTAGGCAAACAGATCTGTAGAAACGGAAACAAGGAAAATCCAATTACAACTTATTGTTCTGCAACTATGCAAATGCACTACAATTTACCTGTAGTTATCAGGGTTCATGGAAAGCAACACCCTGTAGAGTTTATCAGCTTCTTCTAGACGGCCAAGCTTTGTCAAGAGAGACACCTCTTGTTCTTTGTAAGCCACCTTATCCACCTAGGAACACACAAACCAGGAGTGTTCTATCTTTGAGTTGACATGCATGTATCTCATGAATCCAACAATATTCAACTATCAGAGCTAATAACTTACTATTTTTGGCTCTTCCTTATGCAACTCTTTAAGTGCTCTCTCAAAGGAACCACTCTCCTCTAGCAAGGAAACCTGGAACCAAACCAAATTCTCATAAGATTGATTGCATTTAACTATAAGATTTAACTAAAAAAAGCATCTAATCAGGCTTCTGGCAATGTCAAATGTTGGAAACCCAAAAAAGATGCGATGCCAAATTCCAACATATGCACACTTATACAGTTTCAGCCCAAAACAAAGGCAGGTACCTTGTATAGGAGCATTTCGCTGTGCTCACATCGCTCATTCTCAGGAGGATAATCATCCTCCAAGGTCCCTTCATACGCTTCCAAGATTTCAACAGCTTTTGAAGCACTGGTTTCAAAGAAACGAGATGTTGAGTATGCCAAACAAAAGAATCAATAGATCAAATTAGATATACTGAAGAACCCATACTTGTGGAAAACAATAAAAATGGACCGTGTTTCCAACTGAATGTTCGATTATCGAACTTCGATATCATACACTTTGCTCAAAATCAAACCTAGAAGACATGCTATATGTCCCTCCAAAAGTTTAGGACGAAGTTGCTAATCACATGAACACCGAAGCACAACTATCAACTAATAGCCCACTGCAAACATATTCAGCTTTCCATTCAATTGAGTAAATAACTCACTTTTTGTATTACCAAAATTTAAATGCTCAAGGATCATAGCATACTTCGAGTGTAGATGTTGGGCGACTGCAAAGCCGATCCAGTTCATGCGATGATTTGGTTTCAAAGTCAAAAGCTGCTGCCTTGTCTCCACAAAACCAGATACATCCCGCATTTGTGCCTAGGAAAGATAGAGAGAGAGATTCACAATTTGAAAAGGTTACACAAAAGGAATGGTGAAAAGGCGTGAAATATTTCTGCTCCCTAATGTTAGATACCTAACATCCTCCTTTCACACATCTAGACAGACACCTCTTCCAACTACCATACTTGGATAAATAAAAAATTTCCTTATTCCATTATTACCTGCAAGAGTGACAGGTCTCTGAGTATTTCGATATTATCAGGATCTATTCTTAAAGCATTCCGGTAGCATTTGATGGCCTCTCTATACTCTCTGTCAGATCGATACAGAAGACCAAGCACATGCCAACAAACATGACTTTTGATGTCATTCTGCAACACAGCAAAATTTGCAAGTCCCAGGTTACCTGAGTAATCGTATAATTTCTGAACAATACAGGGGGTGTTATGATTAGTGAAGAGTGAATCTGAACCTTCACACCAAGTCGAACTAGCTCATATGCCTCAGTTTTCCGGTCCATACAGTTTAGAGTCAACCCTTTCATAGATAAAGTCTCTGAAAATCCAAAAACACACACACACACAAACAAGTCTTAAAAAGAAAGGGAATGGACAGAAGAAGGGATGGAGAGTGGTAGTCTTAAAAGACATTTAGCAGAAGTGAGGATAAAACACTAAGCAGAAGAGTCCTGAGGAAATGACGATATACATTACAGCAAGCAAGTACTGTATTAAGCTTCAAAACACGAATGTGGATTACCGATTACAACATTTTTCCTAATTAAAAAAATTATTTAACTTGTCCAGAGCAAAGAAAAAAAATGTGTTCCTTTCATTAATAGAAGTGGATGCTTCAATTGACAGCCAGCCAGACACCATCAAATCGAAACAGATGCAAGAACAGCTTATGATTTTGTAAACTCATAGTATTCTAATTCTAAATTCCAACAGCTATGAGATTTGACATATAAAAGACAACTCACCCCCATGATCAGGAAACTTCTTTAATATGGCATCTGCTGCCTTCAGTCCCTTCTTGTACTGCTTAGTCTCATAGGATTTCTGCAATGCACAACAAACGATGTTTTCGAGTAACTTAATGAGGATATATGTTTTTAACAAGAAACTCTGTTGAACACAAGAAACAATCCAATAAAAAAAAGTAATCAGCTTGATACTCATACTCTATTAAGTTATCTCATGAATATGAACAAAAGATATGACAATATATCTGTGCTTCAAGAGTAAAGGCAAATGAAAGATAATCCCCATAAAGTTAATAACTAGTCAGCCGAAGTGAATCGATGAGGAATGGGAAACAATGCCTATGACAATACATCTGCGAGTAAAAAGGTTGCTATAGCCGTCATGTTTGGAAAACTTAAATCAGAATAACATTCACCCAGGAATCAAAAGAGAAAATCCTAAAAACAATGCCTAAAATCCTACAGAAACATTGTCAAGTAGAAAAGAACAGGTTATACACAATAAATTAAGGATCCCAAAGCCCAGAAACGGACAGATTGATTAGGGTTTAACAGCAAACAATCCGTATTGCGAATTCAAGAGAATCTCGCAATTCCAATGCCACTGAAAAACACAATAGGCGAATTAAGACATCAAAACTCTACATAGATCCCTTTTCCCCATCAGTTTCAACGACTTGAGTTAAACTTAGGGATTTAGCAGAGCAGGCATAACTAATCGATTCCAATTCCTCCCCAACACAGACATCGCACCGCAAAGTCCGTACAGAGAGACGAGACAAGAGAGGCAGATAGAGAATAGGCGCGTACGACGATGAGCTTGAAGAGGTTGGCCTCTTTAGAAGGAAGGGAAGCCCCCATTTCGCTGCCCTACAGAGAGAGCTCGCGAATAAGAAGAAGACGATGAAGCAGAGAAAGTTTCTTCGCGGAGAGAGGTGGCGTACAATCTGCTTCAACCCTACTACGAACAGAGAAGCTTCAAGTGGAAGGAGAGACGAACATAAATGTTAGGGGAAAAATGTTATATTTATCCAAACCGAATCAGCCTTGCATTCTCGGTTTAATTCTGGTTTAACATTCGGTTCGGTTCGATGTTCATGAACAAAACATACTCCAATCTGATGGGTTCTAAATTTGATCCAAACCGATCGGCGTGACAATTATTTGAAACCGGTTTAGGAGAAGGAACTATTCTACCAATTATACATAAATCAGGTTCTGACCTCAAAGATATCACCAATTTAACTAATAACCAAACAACCGAATATATTCAACCATGATGAATCCAATTCTATATAAAACAAAAAAAAAACTAAATCTAAATCGAATAAAATATAATCGAAAACCAAAAATTTCTTCAAAAATTAATATTTGATCAGTAAAACCGAAACGAGCCGAACTAAATCTAACCGAAATGAGCATCCCTGACCGAGGGCATGTCTCCCGACACTAACTAGAGAGGCGCACAGATTTTAAGACATGTCTTTAACTAACTAACAAGACCCCGAAGCAACTTTCTGGTAAGCTAGTTCGATCTCTTCTTCTGTCATCTCGACAGTCTCATCGCTGTCATAGCCGGAAGTTTCCCGGGAGGTTGCCGCATTTCTTCTTCCCGCTTTTCCCTTCTCGTTTATCGTGGATGACTCTTCCTGACCTCGTTTTTTAAGCTCGGTCTCGTACATCTCCTTCCACTCCTTTGCTAGTCTGCAAAGATCTTCTTTTGATCCCGAGGAGTTCCTGTTCTCCCAAGAAGCTTCGATCTTTCCGAGCTCCTTGACTACACGAGGGACGAAGCTCCACTGCTCTGTCACTGTCCCAACGCCCTGAAGTAATCAACGGATTCAGACACAATGCCTCGATCAATGAACTGAAACAGGGCCGTGTCATTTAAAACTTTCACCGGGTTTCTAATGGATCTGAAGATTATATAGGGTGTTATTATTATACAGGCCAAGATCTTCAGGTTTCCAGAATCGTACCCGATTTTGTTCGAGAGAATCTATGGCATCTTGTAAACAGGTCAAGATTCCTTCAGCAGCAACTCGCTTTATCTCGCCTGGTTCCGGCTGTTACAAATGGTTACACAATGAAAAAAAAACGTGTCTGAAGAAGACGAATGCAGTTCCCCTTACTTTCTCCTCCTGACTCTCGAGCCATGAGATGGTTTGAGTTAGATCGGCCATAGCCCATTTCTTAACCTCGGAAGGGGGAAACCGCTCTGTAGCAGAAGCACCGGATGATCTACTCTGTGAAGATAGCAGAGACAAACAGTTAAAAAAACCGACTTATCTAAAGAAAAATAATATCAAACCATACCTTGAGCGAAGCAGATGTGCTTCCTCTTGTTTCCGACTTTTTCTCAACTTGCTTCTGTGGTTTTTTAGGCAGCGGTTCTTTCTTTTCTGTGACAAGTTTTTGGTTCCCGAATGTTAATTTGTTACGTAATCAATGTATAACCAAAACATAAGTACACAGGTTGTCTGAACAATGACCTCGACGTACTCTGAAGTCTTTGTCGAATCCACTTCCTCCTCCTCGTCTGTACCAATCCGACGATTTGCAGCAGATCCATAGTCTTCTGGAATCTATGGTAAGCTTTTCCACTCTTATCGTGATTCAGCTTTGATTAGGGGATGTTCTTTAGGGTTTATTTGGATAGTGAGATTACGCGGGAGAGGATCTCGAGTAGGTGATTGGACGGATTTTTGTTTATTTTGGATAAAATTAAATCGTTTTCCTGCTCGATTGCGCATTGTTTCTGTTGATATACGATGTCTCTTTGGTCGCGACAACATCTGTCTGTCTAGAGTGGACGGAGAGGAGATGAGAGGTGAACGCGCTCCTTGAGGTGAAAATGGCGTTTGCATGATTTTCCGGGCTGTTAAAGTTAAGAGGGTATAAAATCTCTTAGGCATAGGGTACGTATGATTGCTCGTATGATTAACTCCTTAATTAATTGCGTGCTAGTGAGCTACTCTGAAGTTTTATATATTGAGTTCTCTCCATTTAGTTCTTGAAAAGTGCAGAATAGGATATTCAAAAATCCAATCTAAAGTTTGCGTTGTTCATTGTTATAAGCATATATATTATTGATAAAATTCGGATCCAACTGGCTGTGCAAGTTTCATGCCTTTTCTTTTCCAGTTCTTTCTTGATATACCATGTTCAGTTTCTCTAGCTAAACTGGAGTGAATTTCCACAACCACAGCCGAGATATTGAGGAGAAACTATCATCGTTTACGTCCTTGCCCCGATCGTCAAAGCTAAAACCGAGGTCCTAAAAATAATCATTGGAAATACAATGTGAAACAATGCATTTTCACCTTGATTAGTCTCTTGGGGAGAAGAGCTGATTTTTCTCCAAGGTTTGCCTAAATGCATTAAGTATTGTTCAATACCCACCAGCTTCTTCTGAGTGTAGCACTCAGTTATCCATTCCTGAAGACATTTTAGACAATTATCAAAGCATTAACAACGGGCGAAATCAGATAATGCGTTGGATCCATTCATGCAAGTCGATGGGGGAAGAAAACCTTTGAGACAATCGTGCCGGAGTCAGATTCGACTTGACGGAACTTTGGAGTGTTAGGAAAAGCACAAACCAACAACGTAGAGTCGGAGTTCCAGTCGGGTTGATAGATAGCTCCCATGGCCAAGGCCTGTGATCTCAGTGTACTCCTTTCGGGATTTACAAAGCCTGAAAGCACAAAAACAACTCCTTCCTGCACAGTTTGATCATATTGCCATTTAAATTTCAATGGCCCGAACAAAAGATGTCAATCTTCAGAGTTTGAACAAGCCATATAAGCACACAGACCAAGAGTTTAGTGAAATCGGTAGTGCTTGAACATGGTGTAACCAGAACTTTTTCCTGTTTCTTTTCCTTGGAAAGACCATGTGTCTGCTTATCTTTGCCATCTTCCCCTTCATCCTTTGGCTTCATACCATGAGATTTGCTTCCGCTCGAACTCATCCACGAAGGAAGGTTTCGCTTTTGGGACTTCTCACCATCATTATCCCGGCCTGTTTCCGTATCAGACATAGCAAACACTACGAAGAACGCGAAACACAACAGCCTCCTCTGCTATGTTCCAACAAGGAGATGTAAGATTTAACCCTATAAGCAGATAAGATAACGTTAAATTGCCTCCAAGCACAAGACGATGCCCAAGTTGAGACAGAACCTGCAAATATTATTTCAATGGCAAATCATTCCTTCATGAGCAGATTCGATGACTTCAAAGCAAGGAGATGGCTTTTCTCCATTTTCACAACAGAATCGAGGAAAATAGCTCATAAACATCGACATTGATCCCACAAACCATTTTTGATTCTCGTGAGGACAAACGGAGTTGCTAAAGGAAATGGGAAAACCCCACATTGGGTTTTCCTTTATCCGAAGAAAAATCAAGAATAGTAACACCCCAAGAATTCATAAAGGAATTTCCGAGGCATTACAGAGAATTATGGAGTTAAAATAGGATCAATTAAAGCACGAAATTACATGCTGAAATCAGGTATAAACTTGTCGATTGAAGCCAGAAAAACAACCCGGAGAAGGAGAAAGAGGTAATCATAGAGACAAGCAACCAACAAAAATGGCAGTCGCTGCAGAGAAGAAGAGATTCCACCAAAACCCATAAAACTGAAATTCGCCATTGACGCGAACATGCAAGTTCTTGGGGAAGAGAAAAGAATGAAACTTGAGAAGAAAGTGAAGAACTTTTACCCCGTGTTGATCGCGAGAGAAAAGTTTGAACACCCGACTGCATCCGTTGTGCATAAGATGAAGGTCAAAGATCTGAGTGTGTGAAGAAATCATTTGCGGCCATACTGCATAGGTTCGGTTCGATCCCTGCCGCTTTCCTCTTTTTGTTTTCATTTTTTATTCTTCTCAAAATCTTTGATGTCAAATTTGCCTCCTTTTTTTGTCATTTTTAGGTTTTTCCCCCTAAATTTCATTCTGACATTTCAGTCTCAGATTCCCACTTCCTCTCCCATTTCGAATCTCAGCACATCTCCTCTCTCCCTCTCTCTCTTTCTCTCTCGTGGTGGTCTGAGAAGTTCATCGGAGTCCGGGCGGCTAAATGTCCGGCGGTTTCAGATGGCTGATCGGAGCCAAAACTCAGATTTGGAGGATCCGTTACAGGTCTACTCCGGTCTGTCGTTGTTTCCTCGTACTCTGAAGTCTTTGTCGAATCCACTTCCTCCTCCTCGTCTGTACCAATCCGACGATTTGCAGCAGATCCATAGTCTTCTGGAATCTATGGTAAGCTTTTCCACTCTTATCGTGATTCAGCTTTGATTAGGGGATGTTCTTTAGGGTTTATTTGGATAGTGAGATTACGCGGGAGAGGATCTCGAGTAGGTGATTGGACGGATTTTTGTTTATTTTGGATAAAATTAAATCGTTTTCCTGCTCGATTGCGCATTGTTTCTGTTGATATACGATGTCTCTTTGGTCGCGACAACATCTGTCTGTCTAGAGTGGACGGAGAGGAGATGAGAGGTGAACGCGCTCCTTGAGGTGAAAATGGCGTTTGCATGATTTTCCGGGCTGTTAAAGTTAAGAGGGTATAAAATCTCTTAGGCATAGGGTACGTATGATTGCTCGTATGATTAACTCCTTAATTAATTGCGTGCTAGTGAGCTACTCTGAAGTTTTATATATTGAGTTCTCTCCATTTAGTTCTTGAAAAGTGCAGAATAGGATATTCAAAAATCCAATCTAAAGTTTGCGTTGTTCATTGTTATAAGCATATATATTATTGATAAAATTCGGATCCAACTGGCTGTGCAAGTTTCATGCCTTTTCTTTTCCAGTTCTTTCTTGATATACCATGTTCAGTTTCTCTAGCTAAACTGTGGAAACCATCGTATCCTTTTTCTCGATATCCAGCCTTTGAAATTTCAAAGTGAGCTTCAGGATCAGGCAAAGGTCATTTCAGAGAGTGTCAGCTCAGAACGTCTAAATCCAGGCATTCCAGCCAGTGTGACATCTGAAGATGAGGGTCAAGGTATTGAGATTAATCCCATTGCAAACCAACGTGAAAGGAGACAGGGTTTGGGCCGCAAAAGAGCACGGTTTTCTTTGAAGCCTACAACAAGGTAAAGATCGATACGGACAACCTATATGCATGGCAGATTCCAAATCTCTTTCTTCGTACCATTATATATGATTCATATGCACAGTTAGTTGAATTCTCTTGTATTATGATGCGACAGTCGGGCTACTCCAAATTTTGAACTAAGCTTTGATGATAGTAAATATCAAAATCCTGAAGACTTCTTTGCGGCGTACGAGAAGTTCGAAAGTGAGTTACTTTTTCTCAGGAGTTAAGAGTACTATATTGTTGGATATAGTGATCATATACAAATATGTTTTTTGTTCATAACTCATTATTTTTAACAGATGCCAGAAGAGAATGGCAAAAACAGACCGGTACTAGTTTAACAGATACACACCGGAACCAACCGGCAATACGCCCCCGTAGATCAGGAATTTCAGGGTAATGTCTGTTACTGCATGTTTATGAGTTGTTCAATGTGTATATTGCAATATGTTTCCCCTTTGATGCTGACAATTTCAACTTTCAGGAGGAGACGAGTTACATATAACCATAGATATGCAGCTGATGCTGTCAACCTTGAAGCTTCAGATGGGGAAATCCTCAGTCCCTCTGAACAAAGCTTGCTAAAGAATAATACAGCTAATGTAACTACCTTTGGCAAAAATACTAATCATGAGAAAATTATTTCAGTGTCAGTGGCGGGTGGGTGGGTGTGTCTATGCCTTTTACCTTCAGTTAGATGGTTTTCCCATTTATAAAATTCTCATAGCAATAACCATTGTTTTGTGTAGAACCAACAACTGAGACTGAGAAGAATGTGGACAGTGTCCTGGGTGAGTTGCTTTCTGGCAGTGCAGAGCTTGCGGGGGATGTCAGTCTTTTGGAGGAATGCCTGCAGATCAAGCCCATTGAATCATTGATACAGATAAATTGTCTCTCCCTGAATTGCAAGATGTGCGAAAGAGCATCTTATTGGCATCTCAAAATATTTTATCAAGACCAAGGACTGCGTTGTCAGAAATACAGAATATGTTAAAAGGGAATACGCAGTGAATCAGCTCGAAAGAATACCCAGACACCATCGTCCTTACAGAGTATAGGGGATTCACTTTCTTCACATAACAAACATATGTCACCAGTAGATATTTCCACCAGAGCTCTCAGTCAACAGTCTAGTGAGGTTGATGCGGCAAAGGATTTGAATATCTACTCCAGATCTTCTACAACCATCAGTGTTGATGATGATATTGATAATGTGTTCTTGTCTAATGTGCCGAATGGAGACGTTTCTGCCCCGGTAAACAAATCAGTGGAGAAGACTTTGAGTAAACTTGAGTCTGACATTCATACTGACATCAGTAGATCTGTTTCATGTGCACCGGAAAGAACTGTTGGTGATTTTATGGATGATAGTGTCGTGGACAGAAACTCAATCAGATCAAAGTTTAATGTAGATATACAAAAAGAAGGGAATGATGGGCACATACCCATTGCTGAGAGCGAGACATACAGAGACTTGGGCAGATGTGAAAATGATCCAAATATTTGTGTAAGTGAAGCAAATCAATTAGATGGCCTGGTAAGGTTTTCCTTCACTTTGTTGACCCATCTATTCACGTACCGGGCAGGATCTCTGCTTGATACCATCTTTCTATCAACTTGTTTGTGATGCAGGCAAAAGATTCATTTAGAGGAGCAGCAAAATCAGATGGTTTTTCTGAGGTAAAGGATGTCATTCCAAGTGACCAAGGTGTGTTAATCTTTTCTCCTGGACTGTTGCTGAAAATTCTAAAATAATTCAGACAAGCAAAAGAATATTGTCATGGCTGAGTTTGTGGATGTTTTCTCCTTCTCCTTTTGCAAAATACTTTTGTAATTATTGGAGAAACCTGTTTAGCTTGAGCAGTCCGATACCAGGAATTCAGCTTTTCTTGTTTTTTACGCATCAGCCATTCAACAGTTGAGTCTTATCATCACTTTCTTCTGTGCCATTGTTTTGTAGACAGATGAATCCCCCAAAACTCCTAATGGAGCTCTAGAAGAACAATACAACGCAACAAACGGGTCCTCTGAATATGAAGAGAACCTTCGAGGACAACATGGTAAACAAAAAGAAAACACGGAATCTGCTCATGGGCATCAAGAAGAAAATGTTCAGGTTTGCTACAGACTCTAGATCTCCTTCTGTTCTCATTCTTTCGTCTTTTGGTTTTTTTACCTCCATGACCAGTCACGTATGATTAAGGTGGTATTAGTCAAGGCCTACTCATCTTCATGTTGTCTCTCGCGTGTCAGACTCTGTTTTTTCTTATCCTTTCCTGTTGCTTTTGGGGGAAATCCTTGTGTTGATCTCTCATTAGTTATATCCTCTAGTGTTTGGATAAGGATAACTGGAATTCGTACATTATTGAGCCATCGAAACAGCTTTCTCTAAATGCCATTTGAGGTGTCCTCTGCGGTATTCTTCTACAAGTTCTACTTAGAGTGTGTTCCCTAAAAGTCTGATTCCGGTTTATGTTCACTAAGCAGAAGAAAGTTTTCTCTTTTATATTGTTTCTGCAGGAGGAAATTCACAACTCTTGCCGAGAACAAACGAGTGAGAGAGGGCAGAGGAAGGGGAGTAAGCGGAGGGAAATGGCATCATCATCAGGCGAGAGTGAAGGGAACAAGAGAATGAAAACAATATCACGTGAGAGAAGCAAGGAGGAGAATAAGAAGAGGAAGGCAGTATCACGTGAGAGGAGGGTGTTTGCCCGCAGGAAAAGCCTTGCAGGTGGGAGAGAGAGAGAGAGAACTGAACTATTATCTGTCTTTTTTTTATTGTGAAAACATGTTTTTTTTTTGTTTTTATTAGTAATGTGCATCCATTCATCTCTGGTGCAGCTGCGGGTACGAAATGGGAAGAAGGAGTGAGGAGGAGTACAAGGATCAGGTCCAGACCACTTGAGCACTGGAAAGGCGAAAGATTCCTCTACGGGCGAATTCATGAGAGTATGAAACAACCTTTGCATTCATGTTTTCCAAATCCCTGCGAATTAACTTCTTCATTAAAATACGAATCGCCGCGGCGGGCAAAGGGGAAAGGGGAGAAGCCGAGGTTGAAGGTGGAATCGTATGTGTCGGATGAATACCGAAAGCTGGTGGAACAAGCTGCACTTCATTGAAGGGGAAGAGCCCATTGGAACACTCCTCTCCTAACTCCAAGGTGAAACCGAAACATCATCCCTTGTTTTTGTTTTTTCAATGTTACCTCTAATTTCACGGTTCGTAAGTTTCCGTTAGGGCCTTTTTCAACGGAAGAATAGTGGGCTTTCTTGACTTTTTCTTTTTTTTTTAAAATAAAATTGGAAACTCTGTTCTGAGACAAACAACAGGTTTTTTAAGACCTTTCTTCTTAACGCTCACTGGAAAAAGGTTTGCAAAAAAAAGTCATGGGGAGTCGTCACGTGATTTAATATTCTCTCAAGGTTTTCTTAGTTTTACTTTTTTCGGTTGACTAAATAAAACAAACCCCGATCATACTGATTATTTATTGAAGATATATTTGGGCTTTTAATTTTAGTTTTTGGATTTTGGTTTTTAGTTTTTGGTTTTTGACTTTTGATTTCTATAATATTTGTAAACTATAAAAAAAAAATAGCTTGTGATTTTATTTTATTTTTCTACTAAAATGACTTTTCAAGTTTTAAAGAAAAGTAATTTTGTGAAAATAGTTTTTTTAATTTTTGGATTCTAAAAACTCTAAAAACTCCAACCATTCGAGACTTTTATCTCTCAATATAGAATATCGGGCTTTTGGCTTAAATTGTATATATATATATATCATAACATTGTGTAAGTACACGCATAATAGACAAAAACATCATTGTATTTGTATAATAGGGATGGACAAAAGCATCTTAGATTCCCCATTTTGGTATGCGCTTTTTCTAATTTTTTTTTATGGGTTTGAAAGTTGGTCCAGATGCAGTTTATATTTCCCCCACGCACAAAACAATGAATTGTTATCATCATATAGCCTTGAAATTTATAATCTGCATTATTGTATAATTTTCCAGGGAACATCGTAGAAATTCTTCAATATAATATTTAACACGACTTTTTCTACGAGAGGCGGACGGTTTTCCAAAAGGGTTTCAGTGGAAAAATGACATTAAATTATTGAAGAAATCTACGATCTCTTGTCCCCTCGTTTCTTTTTTTAAGAAATTGTTTTGTAAGGTCGCCGTCTGATATATATATATTATTAAATTATTGTGTTACGACAAAAAAAAACATATAGAGGTGATGAGGACAGATGCGTTCGAGAAGATTTGATGCGTCATTAGTACAGAAAGTGTGACCGAGTCGACTCACCCCTTCTGGATAATCATTAAAAAAAAAAGGTCCGAACCATTGAAGATTGAACCACTTGGCTTTATCTTTTTCTCCGTTGCCTTTCCTTTTCATGATGTCCACTCCTTGAAAATAATTTTAAAAAACACACATTACTCCCACAGTAATTCTTCTTTAACGTCATCCCGACTTCAAGTGTGAATAAAATTATTGTTACTAATTATCCGAAAGTATTATTACAATGCTTGAATTTGTAAAACCGTAAAAAAATGGTTTTTTAAATTTTTTGTTTGACAAATTTATTTCTAAACTTGTAAAAATTTGTATTTATAATTTCTAAATTTGCTAATTGATTTTAGACGAAACGTTGATATAAAAATTTGTTGATCAACACTTTACGTGGTGTCACATATCACGCGATGCATCACTTATTTGTGTTATATGGCACATAATGTATGGTGTCACATATAATACCATTTAACGGATTTTTGGATCAACGTTTCCTCTAACATCATTTAGTAAATTTAGAAATTATAATGATTGATTTTACAGGATTATAAATAAATTTATCAGACAAAAAATTCGGAGTTCATCTTTCTTCGTTTTACAAATTAAATTTTTTAATGAGATTCACTTTTTTTTCTATATTTTATATGTTATTAAATTTAAGATAGAGGAAAACTTGAAGAAAATGAGAGAGAACATGTAACCATATCTCTTCAAAAATCACAACGCTTTAGGGGTCCATTAAAAAACACACTTTTATCATTATCTTAATCTCCATTCAAGTTTATCCTTCCCTTTTGTCATTTTCATCCCCCATACAAAATAAATAAACCATATTGTTTCCTTTTCCATTTCATTCCACGGATCGTCGACTTTTTATATATATACATATATATATATATATATATATATTATTATCACGAGACATCATGATTTATGGAGGTCCAATTAAGTCCTTTGACAAGTAAATTCCAAATTTCACCGACGACTTTTCCTTTGAGAATTCGACGCCGTGTCGTTTTGCTTATTCTTTATTCCTATGCATGCCGTTCCTCCCAAGTACATACATACATAATACATACATACATACATACATACATACATACATACATACATACATACATACATACATACATACATACATACATACATACATACATACATACATACATACATACATACATACATACATACATACATACATACATACATACATACATACATACATACATACATACATACATACATACATACATACATACATACATACATACATACATACATACATACATACATACATACATACATACATACATACATACATACATACATAGAATATGTACTGATGAACATCATCGCTTACGGGCAGGAAATTGTTGTCTGGATTTACAAAAGGATATCTAAATGTCCTCGTTGTCGCAGTCACAAATCAATTAGGGTTTAAAATTTATTTTTGTTTGTTTTTTTATATATATTCTTATTACAGTTTCGAATCATTAGTTTGTAAAGTGTTAATTAAATATTCATATACATGTTATTCAATTTATTCCGAAACAAAACTAGGGCCAAGTCTAGTCATAATCCTTTAAACACATATAAAAATGGGTGGAATTAAAATCTTAATTTTTACTATTAACATTTTTAATTGAATAAAAAATACTGTTGACATTTTGTGTTTGATTGAAATAAACAACTGTCGCGCGCTATACGTAATATTTAAGATTTGATTATATATTTAATTTTGTAAATTTTTAATATAATGTTGATAGCCGCATAACTATAACCTTTTGAGTTGTGCTATTGGCATATAATAATATTAGTATTTCTTGATGAGAATATAATCCACATGTGATCATATGGTCCCTATGAAATAATTTTGAATCTTTAATTTCCTCCTAACGTGCGTACACGGCAATCAAACCATATTATCATTATTATTATTATTATTATTATTATTATTATTATTATTATTATTATTATTATTATTATTATTATTCAACATTTTCTATTACGACGGCAGTCTTTGTCATTTGCTACGAATAAATAATAGATGTTTGAAATATAGTAATCGCTTACACATGCATTCACTATGTCACACAGTAACTTACAATAATAGTTTTTAACACACGGGTTGTATTTATAGTTTTATACCATATTATAAAAACATATAATATGATAGTAAGTCCGATATTGCATTATTACGCATCAATCGTATTAGTAGCAATGTAACGCCTCATGCTATTCTCTTTGACGTACGATATGCGCCTTATGATTTTCACTGTAATTTCAAGATTTTACAAAGTGGAGGAATTTCTATATTTATCTTTGCTGTGACAAGTGGGGGTTTCAATGATTGTTTTTTCACACTGTTCAAGGATATTTACACACACACACACACACTATATATATATATATATTATATCTATATGTATATCCAAATATTATGAAGAATAAAAATAAATATATTCATTTAATTCTAATCTAAACTAAAATAGATCTAGATCAATTTAAAATTAATCTTCTATAAATATCCATCCTTTGTGTAAAAAAAAATTCAGCAATAAATAAGAATAATTAAAACTGTTGTTTTTCACTCTATCCTTATCCGTTTAATACGTACTGTGCTTCATTCACATGACTCATCGGATAAGCCTATAGAGTCAGTGAGTGAAGAATAAAAAAAAAAAATTACACTAATCAAATCAACAAAACCCAATTTAGCACTTTGTATGAACATAATCACACACCCACATATATTTTACATGGACATGCCGCCATTGTTGTCCATCATGTCATCATTTTATGTGTGACCGATTACATAAATAAATATAAGAACTAACGATAACGAAAACGAGCAATAATTTTGTATCTATTATTTAATGATTTAGTTATAAGATTTTTTTGTAGAGGGGATTAGATTTTTTGGGATAATGAGTTAGGGGACAAAGCAAAAAAAGGATGTGCTGATCCAATGGGTGAAACGGCCACTTGGTCCCAATGTCTCCATCAATGCGCCAATCACATTCCCTATACCATTAACCGATAACACCGGAATCCCATTTTCCATCTCCCAAAATATCTACTAATTCAAAAATCAAATTATATATATACATATACATACAATATATATATGTGTGTATTCCCCGAAAAGTACGGGTTTCTAGAAGACTTGTCTTCGAATCTTTATAAAGAGGGGCCGTCTCTTCACTCTCTTACACCATCCCACAAGAGCATTCCCGGTCCAAAGCTTCAAATTTCAATCCTTATTGTATTCCAAAGAACACGATCCTGTCCTTTCTTCTTGTTCGTGCAAAAGCTTCAATCTTTTACAACCCAAATAAATAAAGTTTCAATCTTTTCTTCTTGGATCCACCGAGATCGATGGGGCTGATCCCTGATCTTCCCGACGACGTAGCCCGCGAGTGTCTCCTACGCGCCTCCTACAACCAATTTCCGGTGATCTCTTCGGTCTGCAAAAGCTGGAAGCGTGAAATCTCCCTCACTGAGTTTTTCCGACAACGAAAAGCTTCTTGCCATAGCCAGAAGCTTCTGGTCATGGCCCAGGCCGGGGTCGACCCTGTTAGGGAAAACGGACCCGGTAAGCTATTATCCATCCCGGTTTACCGGATCTCGGTTCTCCAACCCGGTTCGGGTCTTTGGACCGAGCTTCCTCCGGTACCGGGTCTTCCCAACGGCTTGCCTCTGTTCTGCAGATTAGCTGCTGTCGGATCGGATCTTGTCGTACTGGGCGGGCTTGACCCGGTTACGTGGCAGGCCTCTGATTCGATCTTCATATTCAGCTTTCTGACCTCCACGTGGCGCACCGGAGAGAGCATGCCAGGTGTACGGCGGTCGTTCTTCGGTTGCGCGTCGGACTGTAATCGGACGGTGTTCGTCGCAGGCGGTCACGACGAAGACAAGAACGCGCTGACGTCAGCGATTGCGTATGACGTGGCGGAAGACATATGGGTCCCGTTGCCTGACATGGCACGGGAGCGAGACGAGTGCTCGGCGATCTTCCACGGTGGCAGACTCCACGTCATCGGAGGATATGCCACGGAGGAGCAGGGGCAATTTAGTAAAACCGCGGAGTCGTTCGATCTGGGAACGTGGCAGTGGGGCCCAGTCGTGGAGGACTTACTAAATTCGGCCACGTGTCATCCTGTCTGTGCTGGCGACGAATACGGCAGACTGTACGCGTGTTGCGGTGGCGACGTGGTGATGCTGAGGGAGAACACGTGGCAGAAAGTGGGGAAGATCCCTGATGACGTGGAGAAAGTGGCATACGTGGCAGTGTGGGGCGGGAAGATACTGGTGATGGGGTCGGATGCCAACGTGGCATATGCTGGGGGCGAGAAGGGTTCCGAGTGGGTAAAAGTGGAAGCGCATGAAAAATACAGAGGCCACGTTCAAACTGCTTGCTGTTTAGAACTCTAGACTAAGATATGCTCGTGTCGTCTCACACAGTTTTTTCTTTTATGTCAGTAATTTTTTTTTTTTTTTTTTTTTTTTTTACTGAGTGATGTAAAAATGGTTTGGAGTTGACTAATATGATAACCATAAGTTACTTTTGGACTGTTCAAATGAAATATAATAATATATGATTTCGGCCGAAACAAAAAGGTTAAAAAGTTGGACGAGTTCGGTAGTGCTGCGAAAACGACCCAGACTGAATTCTCAGCCTTTAGGCCCATTTTAACCTACTTTAGGCCCACTTTCAATGTTCCACTTCCAAGTTCATTTCATGCACTTGTAACTGGGCATATATATATATATATATATATATATCTGCATAACTCGTTAATTTCAACGTGGCGTATATATCCGGGAATAAAATGAATGGATAACGTTATATATCAACAAAGACGGCTTAAAATGTTCCCGAACCTATTAATCAACCAAAAACATAGACACAAATAAAAAAAGAACAAAAAAATATTTTAAAGATAATGAAATTTGAAATCCACCTATAATTCGAAACAAACATTTTTTTTTAATCTGGAAGTTCACCGAGCCTTCGACCCGACTACATATCAAGGGAACCCATGTGAATATCCTCCCCAACTTCAGTAATCGAAAAGCCGACGTGAAGGCACATTGAATTCGAAGCAAACGTGTGTATATATATATATATTAATAAATTGATGTATCTAATAACATTTGGATTTAATTAGCTATGATTTGATCTATATAAGATATTAACATCAAACTGAAACGAATCCATAAACCAAAGATGTAGTAAGGTCGTGTTAGCCACATAAAAAGGTAAACAGTTCTATTACTTCATGATCTTTGCTCCCTTCTTCGCCACCCATGGCGGTCTCCTCTTCAAGATCTTCTGAGCCAAACCACAATGATGACGACGATGATGCTCCCACGCCTATCTCCAAATTGTTCCCTACGTTTAGGTGGTAGCTTTTTTTATTTATTTTTATGGGCTCATTAAGGAGATGGTTTCCCTTTTGGGCATATGCTGAAATCTTGGAGACTTTAGGTTTTGTAGCTTTACCATTTTCGGAGCGTTCGTATTTGTGTTTCGTCCTTCTCTTTGCCCGTTTCCCGTTGAATGTTCTGCTCAATCTGTGTGTAGCTTTACCACATCTACCATGACCTTTTGTCTTATCTGATCTAAGTGGATTTAGGAGATTCTTTGAAGATCTTTTGGGAATGCAGAATCCATATTTGACTGATCCAAGTCTCCGGATGAAGACGTGGTGGATTAGGCCTTTCACTACTTCCTCATCAGTTAAGAATTCTCTGAACAACAGGAACCGGACAAGTTGGCCACAGGACAAAACTGCAACAGAGGACGCATAGTTTGAAGGGCACAAGCAACACGTTCGATCAAAATCGTACCATTTTTACATATGGAAGATCAAAATCAAGAAAGGGACCTGAAATGGAAGAATCTTTGATGTTTTCCATTGTATGTAGTTAGCAATGCAAACCCATGTGGTGAAAGACAGCATTTTGAGGTGGACTTCACTCGAAAGTTTACAACTTCGGCTTTCTACTCAGGCTTCTGCCTGAAGAGCCTCGGCTCCAGCCACAATCTCCAGCAACTCCCCAGTAATTTTAGCCTGTCTCTCCCGGTTATAAGCCATTGTCAGATTCTTCTTCAATTCGACTGCATTGTCGGTTGCGTTGCTCATCGCGCTCATCCTTGACGCGAGCTCACTCGCAAAAGATTCCTGAAGTGCCCTCAGAATCTGACTGTTCAGATACAAAGGCATCATGGCATCAAGGATCTGAACTGGGTCTTGCTCGAACTGCAGAAGAGGCGAAATCTCCGGTTCCCCTGCTTGTGTTTTCGTCCTCTCCATTGCCAGCTTCCCGTCCTTGCTTGTCAGCCTAAACATCTCGTCCTCTATACTGTCGACGCACTCTCCTTTCTCATCACGGGCCTCTCCTTTCATTGACAGAGGCAGCAGAGTTTGGATCACGGGATCTGATTTCACCAAAGACACAAACTTTGTGTACACAAGTTCAACTTTATCCACTTCTTCACTCACAAACAGCGAAAAGACATCATCTGCAATGGCCTGAGCTTCTTTTGCCGTGGGGAAAACCCCACCTTCAACGAACCTATCCACTGCAATATCATCTCTATGACGAAAATGGGCATTTCCTTTCTTTCCCACGCTTATGACAGTACATTCTATACCTCGTTCTTTCAGTTCCTTAGCTCGTGCATTGGCTTTCTTGATCACTGCATTGTTGAAACCACCACAGAGGCCCTTATCACCAGTTACAACAACCAAAGCAACTCTAGTGACTGGTCTAACAATGGTCAAAGGGAAGTCAACACCTTCAAGCTGAGCGCATCGATTGATTGAATATAGAAAACCGACGACAGTTTCGGTAAAGGGTCTGCTATTGATGACCGCTTCTTGAGCTCGCCGGACCTTCGCCGCCGCTACGAGCTTCATTGCCTCAGTGATTTTCTGGGTGTTTTTCACGGTGTTGATCCGATTACGTAACTCGCGAAGCCCAGATTGGATTACAACCGAAGGCAGCGAGGATTTCGAAAATTTTCGATCTGGGTTTGGTGATTGATGTGTTGGATACTGGAATGGATTCAGCGAGAACGAGAAAGAGATCGAATCAGGGGTCGAAATCGAAGAACATGGAGAGACCCATGAGGATGAAATGAAGCAGGACATTGCGCTGGTTGAAATCGAGATGTTACGAGGTTCTTCAGAAATATTTCAAGGGTTTTAGTTAGGCTTCTTCTTCCAGAAGAGACGAGTAGGTGAAAATGAAACAGATAAGAATTAAGGGGTGTTTTCGAATAAAACAGTTATAATGGGTTTTCTTGTAAATAATGTAAATTAGAGGGATTGGCCAAGTATACATATAGTGGCTATTGGCTAAAGTTTCTTTTATCGCAGTGGACTCTCTCCCTCTGTTCACTGCCAACAATGCTTCTTCAGTTTTCTCCGGCGAAGCCTCCGTCGAATCTCCGCCGCATATCGCCGTCATCCGCCGTATCTCCGCTGAGATTGTTCCGTATCTTTGCCATCGACGCTGCGCAGCCGTTCGACTACGAGACCCAACTGAAATCGGAGCACCAAAAATCCTCCGCTCTGAAGATCGCCGTCGTGGGGTTCGGCAACTTCGGCCAATTCCTCTCCAAAACCTTAATTCGCCATGGACACGACCTCCTCGCTCACTCCCGTTCCGATCACTCCGCCGCAGCCTCCGCCATTGGGGCTCGCTTCTTCGCCAACCCTCACGACCTCTGCGAACAGCACCCCGACGTCGTCCTCCTCTCCTCCTCCATCCTCTCCACCGAATCCGTCCTCCGGTCGTTCCCGTTTCAGCGACTCCGTCGAAACACGCTCTTCGTCGATGTACTCTCCGTCAAAGAGTTCCCGCGCAATCTGTTCCTCAAGTACCTGCCGGAGGAATTCGACATTCTGTGCACTCACCCGATGTTCGGCCCGGAGAGCGGGAAAAACTCGTGGTCAGGGTTGCCCTTTGTCTTCGACAAGGTAAGAATCGGAGAGGAAGCTTCAAGAATAGAGAGGTGCGAGAAAGTTTTGAGGGTTTTTGAGAAGGAAGGTTGCAGAATGGTGGAGATGAGTTGTGAAGAGCACGACAAGCACGCAGCTGGGTCGCAGTTCGTGACACACACCATGGGAAGGGTTCTGGAGAAATTCGGAGTGGAATCTTCTCCGATTAACACAAAGGGTTACGAGACATTGCTCGATTTGGTGGAGAACACAGCGAGTGACAGCTTCGAGTTGTACTACGGGCTGTTCATGTATAACCAAAACGCTCTTGAACAGCTCGAGAGACTTGACATGGCGTTCGAATCGATCAAGAAGGAGCTGTTTGGGAGGTTGCACCAAGTTTACAGGAAGCAATTGTTCGGTGGTGATCTTGATTTGGGAGAATCGTCGAATGACACGACAGGGCCGAAGTTGGTCGGAAATGGCGTTCCCGTGGAAGAGAGGTCGTCTTCTTAGTTCTTCGTGATGGTTTGATGTTGAAATTGAAAGATGGATGATTTTACAATCAAATTCTTATCCAAATGCTCCATTGTTCATATGGGTAATGAAAATTTCATCTTTTTGAGTAATTTGACTTGATTAGGTAATGATCTGTTCTTATAACATGAAGAGAACGTATACAACTCAGAAACTCAAAAACTGTATTTCGTGCGGAATTATTCTTTTGTTTCTGCATTATCGTAACGGACACAAATTCAGTGGAAACACGAAAAGCCCATAAACATAGGGATTATCGAAAAACTGAAAAGCCCAGAACCTTCAGACAAAAAAGCCCAAAGTACGAAACTTTGAGCAGAGACTCCATTGCTGGACGTCGTAGACGAAGAAAGAGCATGCCTTTTGCTTTCTATCAGTTTTGAGGCGTTGAGTTTTTCCAAGGTCAGCTCAGATTACCAGGTAGCCTTGGATTTTCAAGTGTTCTCTTTTTCCCTTCTCTCTTTCAGTTCTCTGTTTGTTTTCCCGGGAAAGTTGAATCTTTTCGGTTTTCTAGACCTTGTCCTCCTTGAATTTCCCTCTTCCTATGCATGATTTTGGCCTAAAAATCGAAACTTTTTGCGCAAAGAATCCCGGGGTTCCAATCGAGACTTTATGTGCAAACAAATAAGAGCTCGATTTCATAACTCTCTTTACGAATTGTCTGATTAGGTTTCCATTTTTCTGGGTTTCCTCCATCATGTTGATCTGACGGATAACTGGTTTTTGTCTGGTTAACCTTTTCAGGCTTCGACGCTTAATTTTAAATGGGGAACACTTCTTCGATGCTGACGCAATACGACATCGAAGAAGTTCAAAGCCATTGTCATAATCTATGTGAGATTCCCTATAATTCTGTGTCTGGCCTCTTAAATACTTACCAATTCAGCTTGAAGAGTTTTATGCTTTGATCCAATTCGCTGTTATCTATGCTCTCAGTTGCACAGCAGGAAATTGTATCACTCTATCAGAGGTTTTGCCAGTTAGATCGAAATGCAAAAGGGTTCATATCAGCAGATGAATTCCTCTCTGTACCCGAGTTTGCCATGAATCCACTGTCTCAGGTGCTCCATGCAGATTTCTGTTTGGTTGATCTTGTTAGGACAGATGGTATGTGTCTTTACAGAAACTGAATCTACTGTTCAATTAAAATTGACCAGTTGCTTCTTTACATTTTCCGAATTGGACAGCGGCTACTTAAGATGGTTGATGGGTTGAACTTTAAGGACTTTGTGGAGTTCTTGTCTGCGTTCAGTGCCAAAGCAAGCGCACGGCAGAAAGTTGAACGTAAGTTCAGTTCTTTACATCAGTTCGTTTATGTGTTTTTACATCTGGGTAGCTCTTGCTTTGTGATTTAGTTTCATGACTGGTAATTGCCTGTTTCCCCGCTGAATGTTAAATCCTGCACCTGCATTTATTTCGTTATGAGCTTCTCGAAAAAGATGCGGGTGATGGACCATAACTCGTAGAAGAAATAGAAAATGTACATACCTCCATGATTTAGATACTAAAAGGACTCGATCAATTTAGTCAACACACAAGTGTTGCTCATTTCAGCCAAAACATTTTGGATGCCGGAAAAGCTTCGTATTTATCTACCCGATTTTTCTCTTCCGTTGATGTAGTTATTTTTAAGGTATATGATACTGACTGCAACGGGAAGGTCTCCTTCAATGATATCATGGAAGTGCTTCGAGACTTGTCAGGGTCATTCATGTCCGATAAGCAAAGAGAGGTATGTGAACTACTTAATACTTCTGTGCTGTGTAAGAGAAATCATCAAACCCTTGTAATGGTCTACCTTCTAACATATAATTACCGATTTTCGAAGCATGAGTGCCGATTTTGGTATAAAGAACTTAAACGAGAGTCTAATAAAGTTTCAAGTGGTTAAGAATTAGTGTTTCCTATAAACAAAAAGATCATAAAACGGTAGTTTTAGCCTGCTTCTTGTTCGGTATCTAATGTAACACGTTAAATAACTTTGTTATCACCTAACCTTACTATTGTTTTGGTGGTGCAGCAAGTGTTGAGCCAAGTGTTGAAGGAATCGGGTTATGCAAGAGACTCTTACCTGACACTGGAAGACTTTGTCAAGGTGCATCTCCACCTCTTCTACTTACACTACTACTTAGGATAGGAATCTGATTATCTGCTGTTTAGAAAGTGTAAAGTCTTGTATCTGCAATGGCACAGGTATTTGGGAATTCTGAACTGAAAATGGAGGTTGAAATTCCTGTGGACTAAGCCGTCGTGACCCTTTTTCAACCTGTTTGTGGATCACTGCATAAAGCCAATCAATCCATTTCTCAGCACATCAGAGACTTCATCATCAAAGTGAAACTGGAAATCTTGTCCTGTATTTTCCATCTTTTAGAATAATAACGGTTCTTTTGTGTTTTCTTGTTAGGCATTAATCACTCCACCAAAGTTTCTGTCTGAACATGTTATGCGTACTGGTGTTAGCTGTATTGATAAGGTTTTTTTCTTCATCATTGCTTCGGACTCCGCCTTTTAAGTTCTGGTAGGGTAATTTTCTGAGTCTGAGATCATGTGAAAATGGTGAGAGCTTGTGGAGTCTGAAACCATTGGATGCATGGACTGCGGATTGCAGTGCAAATCTTCTGTATGCTGCAGAGTGGCACGCATGCAACTTTCTTCTGGATCTTATCCGAACTTCAAATTCCGTATTGAAGGTGGTTGTCTATCATAGACCACCAAAACAAAAAAAACCTTCAGGTTGTCTTTTTCTGTTCAGATCTTCATTTCTGTGGAGTTCCAGAATCAGTTCAGCAGAGATTTTATATAGCTTTTTTTAGCTCTGGATATCGTGTAAGTGCTTGTTTATCTGTTTCCTTGCAACTTCAGGTTGATAATTATTATCTGTCTGGTCCGGAGACTCAACAGTTGTTGTAGGACGATTAAATCATTGGAGCTAGACACGATGGAATCATCAAAAACTAACCATCCCATTCTCTGGAAAGGGAAAAGAGGTTTTACAGGGCGGCGGCATTGAATACCTGAAAGAGAGATTGCAGAATCTTAGAGCAAGAAAACGAATTGATGAAACAAGCACTGGTGGAAGCCATGGAAGAACAGAACAGAACAAGATGGTGAAAAGAGAGGTCTACGAGCAGTTGAAAGCTATGCTGCGGAAAGAGAGACATGGCCCACTTGCAGATCATCAGCAGGAGTAATGAAACACAGCTAAAAGGCAGCACACGGATATAGTGAAAGTTAGAATTCCATACCAAGACATGATCTTTTCATTGATCCAGTGGATGATTATAAAACTTAAGACCGAAAGTACAGAACTTTCAACTCGTATCATCTCAAACAGAACTCTACAAGCTGAAAGAAAGTGCAAAGATACACGCTATGATTTCTGGAGAGCAAGCAGGCATAAGACTGAGCTGCAGATCACATCTCTCCTCTGTATCCACCAGAACCGAAATAGTCTTTTCTCGAATTTGAGATTGCCACACTCTTCTGGTGTTCCAGCTTAGGACAGTCTCGGATACGGTGTCCAAGCCCACCACAATAAGCACAGCCCTTTACACCACTTGCACTGGCAATGGCCTCTGCTTCTTCCATCGGATCGTCCAGCTCAGCCAACACAGGTGGAATCCTCTGCTTAGCCTCTTGCAACAAGTGTTTCAAGTCGAGCAGAGTTGTCTCGGTCTGGTTCTTGTTTATGAATGTCGTCGCTATCCCGGTCTTACCACAACGTCCAGTTCGTCCAATCCTGTGGACATAGTTCTCAATCTCTGCAGGCATGTCGTAGTTGATAACATGTTGTATATCCGGGAAATCTAAACCCTTTGAAGCTACATCAGTGGCGACCAAGACGTCTTTTTTCCCAGCTTTAAATGACGAAATGGAATATTCTCTCTCTTCTTGATCTTTCCCTCCATGGACGGCCACAGCTTCGACTCCTTTCAGTAACAAGTATTCATGGATATCATCCACATCGGCTTTGTTCTCACAGAAGATCAAAACAGGGGGCGGAGTTTTCTGCAGGCACTCGAGGAGGTAAACAATCTTTGCTTCTTGTTTGACATACTCGACCTCCTGGATAACATCGAGATTTGCAGCTCCGGCTCTTCCTACGTTAACAGTCACGGGTTTAACCAGAGCACTTCTAGCAAAGTTCTGAATTTTTGTGGGCATTGTGGCGGAAAACAGTAGAGTTTGACGCTGTGCCTTAAAGTGGTCAAAGACTTCTCTTATGTCATCTTCAAATCCCAAATCTACCAGCCTATCTGCCTCATCCAGTGTCAGGTACCTATATCAGAAAACAAGATCAGTGAATGTCAACGTTGTCGTATCATCTAATACGATTACCAAATGAAATGAAACCACACAAAATGCTAAAGATCTCTAATACGATTACCATATACGATATGACCGACTAAGCACAGTCACGCAGATCTAACAGAAACATCCAATTTGATACACCAAACAAGTGAGAAGTGAACACTTATCTCATACCTGCAAGCATCTAAGTTCATCTTTTTCTTGGCAAGCATATCCTTCAACCTCCCCGGTGTAGCCACGACGATATGCACGCCTCTCTTCACGACCTCCAACTGGGATCGCATATCCACTCCACCAATACAGAGTAATGACCTCAAAGCCGGGTATCCGGCTTCTCTCAAAGGAGCCAGAAACTGTTCAACCACTTCATAGGTTTGCCTAGCAAGTTCCCTAGAAGGACAAACAATCAAAGCAAAGGGACCTTCTCCAGCAACAATAGGCATCATCATCTCCTCCTGCAGAGCTATCATAATCATGGGAAGCACAAACACGAGTGTCTTCCCCGAACCCGTGAAAGCAATCCCGATCATATCTCTCCCGGACAGAATCACTGGAAGACCCTGAACTTGAATCGGTGTCGGCTGCACGATCCCTTTCTCTTTGAGCATATCAAGCACAGGTCGTGGGAATTTCATATCCTTGAAGTTCTTGATTGGTGGAGGGATATCTTCACCATCAACAATGATATGCCACTGCTTTCGGATCAAGTCCCTCTCTTTCCTAGACATCCTACGAATATGCAGAGGGGGTTTCCATCCCGTCAGAAGAGGCTCTGTATAAGTGATACCTTTGGCCAATTCACGAACGGACATAAGTGTCTTTCTATCGGACAAGTGCTCTATCATCTCCTTCTCTTGTTGCACAATCTGCTCGGTGGGACTAACTTCGGGGATGTCCCGCTTCAGCTGTGACGCCTTGACGAGCAAGCTCGGTTTCGCTTCAGCGAGTTTCGCCTTCTCTGCTTCTTCCTCAAGAGCCGAGACCTTGCCCTTTCGCTGAAGTATCTTCTGCGCTTCCATGGCTCTACGCTTCGCCACCGGCACATACTCCACATAATCATCGTCTTCCTCCATGATTGAAATTGTCTCTTATAACTTCGATTCCCACTATCAAAATAACCAAAATCCAAAAACTTTCAGACGACAGGGGGAAAACCCAGTTGGAATTAACCCCAATCAAGCCGCAAATCGAGAAATTGAAACCTCACAAAAGCGAAAATGACCCTCGAGGGTCGGTCCTTGGAATCGTCAAGACAACAAAAGGAATAGGAACAATCAGACGAGAAGAAGTGGCCGAAAAAGCAAATCTACCTTGAAAAATCCTCTCCCGAGTCGACCAAAGCTCGAGCTCGTCTCAAACGGCGCTTATGGAAAACGGGTCACCCAGTCCGGACACTTTTAATTGGGCTCAGTTAAACGACATCGTTTCAAGCCCAACTATATCCATTTTCCTTTTTTTCATCAAATCTATTTTTTTTTTTTTTACATCCTTTGAATTCTACATATCAATCGTTGAGTACCATCTCTTTTGATTTCTGAATCAGAAATTGGAATAATCAAATTAATTGTAATAGTAATACAATTAACCTTTTTACCCAAGAAGAAAAAGAAAGATAACACGTTTAAAATTAAAACTCAAACTTTGAACTATCAAATCTTTTTTTTTTGTTATAACACGAAATAAATGGTACTAAACGATGTTCAACTATATAAACCGATATCTTTAAACCTTGAACATTTAGATTAATTACCACTCGTCTTTGGGTCAGCGCACTGAACAGTAAAAGACTGATCTGAAATATATTTTGATTCTCAAAAAACAAAGTTCGAACCCCTAAACTAGAGATTAAGGACAGAGATATTGAAACATCTATTCTTCTATTCTTCAAATGAAAGGACAAGAAAGAAAAAGAGAGTCCTCGTTATTATTCATTCCGGAATTTATTCAACAATCACAAAGACAAGCACATACATACACACATACATATATATATATATATATATATGATGCTTGTAGAGATGATGTTGATATGGGTTGAGGTCTAAAGCATCACTCCTTGTCGGGTTTGGGAGGAGGAGTGGCTTGAGGCTTGGAGCATTGCACCTTGTCGTTTTTCTTCTCGGCCACGACATCCTCGTCGTCGAAATCATCCTCGAATTGCAGACATCGAAATTCGTCGTAATCATCGGTGTGATAGCATGGATCATCGTCGTCGCTGTCGTAACCATCGGCCTCGAAAGACACTTTGTGCGTCTCACAGTTGGGCCCCGGCTGGGCGACGTCATCGTAACGGTGATTTTCGGAGACGACAGTAATCACGCGTTTACCCTTATCATCCTTCTTCCTGCTTCTATGTCTACTCGGCCCTTCTTCCTCCAACCTCTCTCTCATCAGTCTATTCTCTCTCCAATAATTAATTCACATTTGTAAAAAAAAACAGGAGTTGGTAATTGTGTGTGTATATATATTGAAAGGAGATGATTTCACAAACGGGAGAAACGTGATGTACACCTTTTCCTTGTCTCGGCAGTGACCTTGTCGGGATCAACTGGCTGCATCATCTGCAGAGAAATATTGTTATGTGAGTGTATATATATATGTATGTGTATGTATGTATATATGCGTCATGATGCGTATAGTATGCATCAAGATCATCCATCGAAATCAGCTCGTACTTATACTCGACAAAGAAATGTCATAAACCCACGTAAAATCAACCATGAGCAGCCACGAAAACACGCGGAAACTGACGAAAATCTCGATGTGTGTCGGAAATCGGAGGAGATTGTGATTATTACCATGAAGAGAAAGCCGAGGAGGGAATCGAGATATGCCATATGGAGAGATCTGAGAAGTATGAAACGATGGAGGAGGAGAACAGACAAGATCAGCGTTGTCTTGAGCAGACAAAGAGGAGATGAACTCGGGGGCAGATACTGTAGCTTATATAGTGAAAAATATGAGGGTTTTTTTTCTTTTGATTTTTGTGAGAAGAAATACTGTATTATGTTTTTTTTTTAATCCTTTTTATTTCCCGAAAGAAAATCTCTTATATTTAAATCTGCTTCATATTTTTCACTTGTTGAAGGCTTAGGTAAACAAAAACATTAATTTAAATTTAAAAATTCTTTCTCCCTTTCAATACCAGAAGAATATTAATCTCCATTGACAATAGTTATATATACATTGATATGAATCTAAACTTATATACATGAGACAATTATATCATAATTACGTAACAAACACGTTAATCGTTAATAATAGATTTGTATTGCGCGAAAATTACCCGCGAAAAATAATACGTTAATCGTTAATCATAGATTTGTATAGCGCGAAAATTACTAGCGAAAAACAACACAAAATCTTTATATATTCTTTAATATTATAGTAAGGACCGGGAGGTTTACTGTCGGCATACCGACCGTTCGGTCTTGGGAGAGGCTGGGACGGTTCGGGATCTGGCTCGAAGGGCCGTATGGCGGGTTCCCACCGATATAAAAAATATATATATATTATAGTCAGGACAATATAAAATTGAAAATACCGAATTTTATAAATAAATCATAATAAAAATTATCATCTCTTCTATTTTTTTTTATCTAACAATATTTTTATTTTTTTCTTCATGGATGGGTTTTAGAAATATTTAAAACAGACTTGAATATTTAAATGTCATTATCTTTATAAATATGCTAACTTGGAATTTTTAAAAACATTCAAACCTATGAATTTAATTTTCCAGATAAGGATGAATTGGAAAGTTTGGTGTGTGTTGTGATATTTCCTTTTGAGGTTTTAGGTCTAACAAATTTAAGAAAGAAGAGATAATTTTCCTAAAATATTTGAATATTTCTTTGGTGTGAAATGGGAGTTCCAATATCAGATAAACATAGACATTAAATTCTTATAATTTGTTGGTATGGATACAAATTAGGAAGGAATGAAAAATGCCGCGTCATCATTTGCATGTATGGGCTCCCCATTTACGGAAATGTGGTCTAGTACAATACACCAAACCCTAAACAAGTTGACACACACACACACACACACATATATATATATATATATATAATGTATATATATGTGTGTGTGTCAGATTTTTTTTATATATATATGGTGTGTGCCAGAATTGGATGCTTGATTTCAAAACAAGCAAAGCTTTAAAACCCTTTTCTAATTCTTCCCTATTCAAGCTCTTCCCGATAAACATAATCTTTGATCCTTCAACAGGATAGGGCATATCCAAGTTTTTCAATATATATATATATATATATATATTATGTTGTATATATGTATGTATGTATAACATGAATGTATTTATATGTTATGTTATAATCGAATTAATACGAAATCAAATAATATATAAGCGTAACTAAACCAAATTCCATATAAAAATTGAAATGATTATATATATATTTTTTTCAAAATTCAAATATAATAAAAACATGAAAACCAATATATTCTATAAAGGATGACGTAAATTATAAACCATGATTAGGACGACAACACCCAATAGGTGTTTAATTAATTAATAAAAAACAAATAATACGTTACATCATTCATTACTCGTGAGAAAAATGGATTCCCACATATCCCCAAGTCCACACACAATACACGACCCCACGAAAAAAGTTGGAGTGAATTTCGTACACAATTTAATTCTATTATTCAATTTTAATAGACAAAATTATATCTAATAAAAATGGAAATCTAGAGCGGGGATCGGACCAGCAAACAATAAAACATAGATACATAGATATCATTATATGATATGATACATCACATCATATAGATTTTCCAAATTTTATAGATCATCCAATTTATAGATATATCCAAATAATATTTTGTCGTAGATAAGCTATCCCAAGTCCACATTATATATCTACTCATATATATAGATATATGATATATCCGTGTCATTGAGAAGCATCTTATTTATCAAAATCGGCAGAAAACCTGCGGGACCCACAGCCTCTTTTTGGCACGTGTCGCTTGATGGTGGGTTTGGAGTTGGAGTCGGTTCACGGCCACTTTGCACCCTTCTATCTCCTTAGCTTCGTCATCGTCTTTTTCGAAACACCCAGTTGAAGAACAAAGAGTAACACTGTTAAACCGCACATAATTTTCCTGGGGAATCTTGGGATCGATCGCAACGATGAGCTGGTATGCATCGTCTGATTCTGTTTGTTTCGTGAGAAAATCGATCGTCCAGGATTAATTTTGTTTATTGCCCTTTTTGACTGCCTGCAAATTCCGAAATCGAACCTCTTATGAGTAATTCGTTTTGATCCGATCAATGGAAGCTTGAAGCATGGAATTGTGATTGTCGGATTTGTTGGCGTCTGTGCAGGATGATCATGACCAACTTGTGTTCTCTTGTCGCTGAATTCAGTGTCTTTTTGTAGCTTTCAAGATTTTTTTTTTGTCTTTTGGTAATTCCAGCACGGATAAAAGCAAAAACAAGGTTTTTGTTTCCTTTATGTGTGATTAAGCAAGCTTCCAGGAACTTGTAAGCTGGTTATGGTAAGCGGGCAATCAATCAGATTTATGTTTCTTTTTTGCAGTATCTAGAGAAAGTTGTTGATTTTCCGTATACTTCATCATGGGGGGAGCTTGTTCACGGAAGAGAGATCAACAGGGTGATGAGGTTTTAAACAGAGGGTTCTCTGGTAAATATTGCAAAAGTTCCAGCTCGAAATGGTTAGCAACCTCGTTCTCTAGGCCTGGTTTGGATGGTCACCGAAAAAATGGAGAATGCCCTACTCTTATGGAGCTCTGTGTTCGCAAGATACGGGAGGTACATTGCCTTCCATTTGCTTATTTCAGGGTTTTAATCTTCGTTGATTTGACTGTCCAAACTTTGTTGCTTTTGCAGGACATTGATATGTATTCCAAATTCTCCGAGCTACCGAGGGATATCAGTCAGCAAATCTTTGACGAACTCGTTTACTCTCAACGGTTAACTTTAAAGTCTCTAGAGGCATTTCGAGACTGTGCAATACAGGTGAAACTCCTTTTCTTTTTAGCAAATTCCTTAACTTTCGTGTCCAGTTGGTGTGATACATGTCTTTGGCTGACTTCTGATTTGTGCAAAATCAGGATCTTCACTTGGGAGAATACCCCGATGTAAATGATGACTGGATGAGTGTCATCTCCTCGCAAAGTACATCGTTGCTTTCTGTTGATTTTTCTGGGTCTGATATCACGGGCTCGGGTCTGGTTTATTTAAAAGGTTGCAGAAATCTGGAATCCTTAAACTTTAATTTCTGTGATCAGATTTCAGACCGCGGGCTGGAGCATCTTAATGGTAAGTTTGCTTACTTTTTCCTTTTTATCGTATATGTTCTGTGGATGTTTCCTATGTATGTTTTTGTTGCGCAATGATAGTTGCTTTAAGACATTGAAAGCCACACTAGGAGCAAGAACTATTCATGGAATTCAAAGGATTTCTGAGTAAATGCATTAGTGTCACTTTTCTTTCATCTGTTTGATGTCTTTGATTGTTGGTCATGTTTATAACCGTCCGGGAATGATTAAACCTTACAGGCCTCTCAAATTTAACAAGCTTGAGCTTTGGAAGAAATACTGCAATCACTGCACAAGGCATGGACGTCTTTTCCCGCTTGGTTAACTTGAAGAAATTGGATCTCGAGAAATGCCCTGGGATCCATGGTGGGCTCAGCCACCTTCGAGGTACTGAATTTGTTATTTTCTGGCATCAATGTTACCTTGGTTCTACATGTTAAGTCCATACAAATGGATCAAATCAGAAACCAGGTGGGTTATGGTCTGATTTTCTCCACCATTTTAGAGCTTCTACAGGTTTTGAAATTGGTTGACTGTCAATTTCTTTTTTCCTTTTTTACATGCTTACATTTTTTCCATTCGGAATATTGTACTCTGTTATTTTATCTTACACGCAGTTTTCGGTGTTTGCAGGTTTAACTAAATTAGAATCTCTGAACATAAAATGGTGTAATTGTATAACAGATGCAGACATGGAACCTCTCTCTGGTAGCAAGAACATGCGTGTGCTCTCAGATGTTTTCTAAATTTATGCATGTTTAGTTGCTTACTTTGTTTTGCTTCAGGACTTACAAACCTCAGAAGCTTGCAGATCTGTTGCAGTAGGGTTACCGATTTTGGTATCAGCTACCTTAAAGGTATTCGAATGTGTGTTTTTTTTTTTTGTGACCCCGAAATATTATTATTTGTTTTAGACAAGAAACCCATTCTGTTAGGCTCATTTTTTTCCTAAGCGCTTTCTTCAGGGCTAAACAAGCTATCTTTGTTGAACTTGGAGGGTTGCCGCCTAATTTCTGCTGCATGCTTGGAGACACTGTCGGGCAAGTATAGTGATCCTTCTTCTACTAGATGTTGTTTTGTAATGTCCCCGAGATGGACCACACTATTTTGGTTATATACATCTGATGAATTTCTGCCAAATGACCTCATATCATTCTCATTTGTCGTCATTCTACAGCTCTCACTGGGTTAATGTTTTTGAACCTCAATAGATGCAATTTTGCAGACAGTGGCTGCGAGAAATTTGCGGGTAAGTGTATATTCGGGGCATTATCAAAAATACCCTTAATTTGCTATTTCTACTTCAAGACCTACCCTTGTGACCATGTGACCAATGTGACCGAAATATAGTGTGGTCACATATTGATCCCATTGTTCATAACGTTAAATTTATGATGTTTTAATCAAATGATTAGTAAGATATACAAGGTATGAACATAATGAATTAGTGTGATCACCATAAATTTAACGTTATAATCGATAAAAATCAAAATGTGACCATACTATATTTCGGTCACATTGGTCACATGTGACCAGGGTATGTCTTGAAGTAGAAATAGCAAATTAAGGGTATTTTTGATATAATGCCTGTATATTCCTCTTCAAACTTTATTACCGGAAACGCTCTATTTGTTTCGCTTTTCAACGTAAACTTTCTACCATTTTTTTCATGTAAATCACTTTTATTGGTTTTCCCATGCAGATTTGATTAATCTGAAGATACTGAACTTGGGCTTGAACTATATTACAAATTCATGCTTAGTGCACCTGAAAGGTCGTCTCTTTCGCAATGCCTCTGTTTATCTAATTCCAATGTTTGAGAAATGGCTGATAACCGAGATAGCTTTTATGAGGGCATACACTCTCGGATATTAGTTCTTCATATAGGGACTATGTTGATTTTTTCTTAGAGATGCATCATGTCAGTGTCAACTTCGTGACGGGAAAATATTCGTAATTGATCTGTATCAGGATTAACAAAGTTGGAAAGCTTGAACTTGGATTCCTGTAGAATCGGTGATGAAGGACTGGTTCACTTATCAGGTGACTGCTGCCGAGGGTGTCTTCTTCTTATTCTTCTTATTATCAACACTTGGTTGTACGGTTTCAGGTCTAGTGCGTTTGAAATGTCTGGAACTCTCTGATACTGAAGTTGGAAGCAGTGGCCTTCGTCATCTCTCTGGTTCAGGCACATCCTTTATACTTTGATTACTTTATATAATTTTCGGGTGTGCTGGTTTACATATTGTTAATCTTTCACTGTGTAGGCTTGTCTAACCTGGAGAACATAAACTTGTCATTCACTGTTGTTACTGATAGCGGTTTGAGAAAATTATCGGGATTGACATCTCTTCGCTCGCTTAATCTGGATGCTCGTCATGTTACTGATGCTGGGCTTTCTGCCCTTACTAGTATGTTTTCTCAACGTTCTCGGGATTATTTTCTGTGTGAGACAGATCCTATATCTTCGAATTCTCGTTGTACCATCGCTGTTGAGCAGTTTCTTGGACTCCCATCCCATGGATGAAAACTTGAGCTCATCCATCCACTCTGTTCTTGCTACAGATTTGACCGGGTTGACACACCTGGATCTCTTCGGTGCTCGAATCACGGATTCTGGAACAAATCATCTAAGGAGTAAGTCTCCTTCGTGTTCTCGCATTATAACTTTTTCCAAAGGTTTCTGTCATCTCAGTATGATTTGACGTTCCGGATTGAATTCTGTCTGGATTCGACTTTTAAATGTTTGAAAATAGGCCTCAAGAAACTGCAATCCCTTGAGATATGTGGTGGTGGATTAACTGATGCTGGCGTGAAGAACATCAAAGATCTCATCTCCTTGACACTCCTCAATCTATCCCAAAACTCCAACCTCACAGACAAAACACTGGAGTTGATCTCTGGTAATAACAGATTAAACCTTTTTCTTGTATATGTCTCTACATCTGTCATAAAACCGAGTTCTTCTCATGAAAACACAGGATTGAAGGGGTTGGTATCATTGAACGTATCGAATTCACGCATAACGAGCTCGGGTTTACGTCACCTGAAGCCATTGAAGAACCTGAGGTCGCTGACCCTCGAGTCTTGCAAGGTCACCGCGCACGACATCAGGAAGCTTCAGGCCACCGATCTTCCAAACTTACTGAACTTCCGTCCCGAGTAGTATCTCATCTCATCAACAAGGTGACATTATCCTCATCCTTCTCTGTAAATACCCTGCAACTGGTGTCAAGAAAAGTCCCCAAAGTCATTTGTGTGTGTGTATATATATGTGTACATAGTAGCCGTATGATGAATAACATCCGGGTCATGTGTGAAAATGTGAATACGGGTTCGAAGGCTGATGAAATGAGGACCTCCGTTGATTTCGAAAGCTCGATCCTTTCGGGGAAACTGTAAAAAAAGCTTTGTCGAGGGTCTCCGAACTGCCTGCTGGTGGTCTGTCTGAATGTGCTGTAATATGTGGGGTAACTAAATTCTACTGGATTTTATTTTTTGGAAAATTCTTGTAATGGGAAAAAGTACGTGTGTATATATATATATATATACATATATGAATGTGTTTCTAGGAGATATAAATTGAAGGCCATTGATGTAGTTGTCTTCACACCTCACTGTTGTGGTTAATGGAGACGAAGATCTTTTTCAGACATAATCTGGCGGGAAAAAAACATCGGATGTGAACTTAACTTAGTTCTGGGGAGATGCGGATCTTTTTTTTTTTGGAACATGGATCCATCAACAGTCATCTTACAATAGATATGTTACATCAATTTACCTTAAGAAAAAAAAAACAGGAAGACAAAAAAAACAACCCGATGCATCCAACCTGTTAGAGATTTGTGTCAGCGAGTCTTCTGCAAAAGGAGAGAAAAAAAAAAAGAAACTTGAACAAAGAGAAACGAGAGATGACGACTCGGGTGACTCGGTTCAAGATCGTCTCGATGTGACTCGGGGGACTCGGTTCAAGATCATCTCTGGGGCTGGTCGGAA